CTCAGGGAATCTGAGAGGTTCTTGTATATATATAATGTTATACACACACACACACACACACACACACATATATATATATAAATATATTATATACCTATTAATGAAAGACTCATCCAAAAAACGTTTTAACAGACATGACAGAAACACGACGAGGACAAAAAAGTCCAACAAAATAGTTATTAAAACTATGACTACTTAAAACAGTAATGAAATAATAATGTTTACAGTCAAAATATAGCGTTAATATGCAAATCAACGAGTGTTTAAAAAAAAAACCTGCTGATGTTTTACTGCTTCTGGTAAAAAAAAAAAAGATGATCCATTATTCAATAAGTTTGCCTTTTTTAACATAGAATACAAAACTAAAGTCACTGCTGCTTTGGGACATTTTGTTTTAATTTAGAATTAAATAGTTTAAATTGTTGTTGATGCAGAACATACTTGAGGTTTGCTACCCCCTCTTGTCATTGATGCTCCCTGAAGTGGAGATTACACCTAAATATAGCCAGCAGACTGGAAGCCTTCTGCAGCTCGGCTCTCGTCAGTCATGGTTTGTGCGTGGAAAAGGGTTAAACTCAACTCATCTGTGTGAGTCAGGATAAAAACGCCCGAACAGAACTGATAATCTGGGATGACTGTGTATGAATTAATAAACTGTTGCAGAACTAACTAAATATTAAGTATTAAATAGATATTGACCATCTGCAGTTTAGTTAAACGCTTGTTTAAGATGATTAATTCAAATAAAGCTCTACAACTAATCTTGCCTTACAGGCTGTTCAATTAAATCCCATACGTCTGTATCCATTTAACACAAGAGGTTCTTTGTTGTTACCAATTACCGTTAAACTGGGTGAGAAAATTGTGTTTTATGAAAATGTTTCGATCAATAAACACACTGATACGTTTCTGCTTGAGGAGACAAACTTTAAAATACCACTAGATGTGTTGGTGAGCATCATTTTTGGGACAAGTCATCACAAACACGGCACAATGAGACATGTTCGTAGCTGGTTCAGTTTAATACAAATGTAAACACATTTTTCTAACAATGTCATTATTTTCAGTTTCAACAGTTTATGAATAAACTCGAGTCAATAAATAAACCAGAAATCTTTTCGTGCAGGGTCCATGTTTGCATCAATATGACCGTTAAGAAAAATTAGGAAAAAGCACGAGGCCAAAACTTGCAAAATGGCAAAAGAAAAATGTTGATAAAAATTAAGAATAGTTTAGATACTGATCATTTAAACAAGCACAAGATTAAAAAAAGGTAATTATCAATACAGTCATTGTTTGCAAAGAGTAACAATTTAAATTTAGTGAGTAGTTTATATTTAAAAAACTGTCATGTAAACACCTTTCAAGCATATAAATGATTTTATTTATAACTTCATAAACTAAACTAATGTGCTAACATCAAATACTTAGCAAACTTTAGTTTCACCCCCAAATATGATGAATTAAAGCTGCTGTAAACAGAAATTTCTCATAAGACGTTTGTGAAAAAAAGTTCTGCTCATATTTCTGCTCTGAAACATTATTGCATTAAAATCCTGCAAGATTTTTTAAAACTATTTTATTTATATTTTAATTTGTACTACAGTATATACTATCTTACAACACAATAAAATAAGACAAAATGTAAAAACAGGGGATAAGATGAGGTATACAGCATTATGATATTACCCTGTATGATATGGGGTGCTGTTTGTAAAATTGCAGTCAAAAATTAACAGCAATATTTTGGTTTATTTAGACTTTCATGAGAAAAAAAGTTTTTTAGTTTTTTTGTCATATTTTCACCATGTTATTCAAACATTTATAAATTTCATAGTTCCAAAGTAAATATTTAATCTACAAGAGAAATATTTAGTTTACAAACTAAACACAATATGTAAATTCTTCAAATATTTAGTTAGTAAACTAAATATTTAGGTGTGAATTAAGTGTTTAATTTCCAAGCTAAATATTTATTTTCAAAACTAAACTTTTAATTTTCAAACTAAATATTTATTGTCCAAGCTAAATATTTAACTTCCAAACTCACCATTTAAATTATAAACTAAATATTTAATTTGCTAATAGCTCGGACCTAAATATTTATTTTCCAAGCTAAACATTGAATTTCCAAAATTAATTTGCTAATTAAATATTTAGCTTGTACCTAAATATTTAACTTGCACGTTAAATATTTAGGTATTATCATGCTAATATTGCTAAAAGCAACCATTAGTGACAGAAATAATAAAAATATGACGCATTTGAGAAAAAATGTTCAGCTTTTCTTTGTGCATTTCACAGTTTTCCTTCAAGTTAAATTTCTGTAAACAATAAGAAAAACACAGTAACATGTTGTCTGCAATGAAACAAAATAAAGATTTTTAACAACAAACGCATTGAGCCATTTTAAGACGATTTCAATCATCTGAACATTATAATCTGAGTGAATGGTGCTGAAGATAAACTGTTAAACACAGAAAGTCTCATTATGTTCAACACCTTACAGTAAACATAATCAGGCTGTTTAGCCTGATAATTATTTTAAACGTCTGTCTTAACAAAAGCTAAGATTTCACCACGTGGTGCAGCAGTACACTACCAAGTAAGTTAAGTTAAACAGTTTGTGTCTTTCTTGTACATGCTCTACTTCAGGTCTATTTTCAACTAGAATAAAATACAATAATAATAATAAATGGCCCCATTAGCCATAAATAAGATAAGACAGAACTTTACTGATCCCGCAGGAAATTGTTGGTGTTGGTTAAATTGCTGTATAAGACACAAGATAACAGAGCCTTCAGTTGAGCAATGACTTTTGGACTTTTACAGTAATGACAATTATCGTGCTGTCGGCTTAATTTAACTTAACTCAACACAGCTTGACCCAACTTGACGCCATTAAACTAAATCAAGTCAACTCAGTCAGTTAATCTCTACTTGAGTAATCTTAACTCAACCCATGTCAACTTAACTCGAGTCAACTCAGTAGAGCTCGACCCAACTAAATCAACTCATCTCTGTCAATAAAACTTAACTTTAGTAAAGGAGGGATTCCGTTTTCATCATTTTCACAAGTACACAAACTGGGGTTGCATGAACTGGTGTATGTTTTTCAAAATGGAAAAAAAGAAAAAAGAAAGTTGACCATTTGCATGCGTCCTGTATGAGCAACATGCTGCTCCCTCATGGCAAACATTGCCACATCATCTGATGTACGGTGATCCCGGGTGCAAGCAGTGTTTTAAACTGAGGGAGCAGCAGCTCAGCTGTGAGCCCCTCTCCATCTCCGAGCGCTCAGAGCAGAGCTCCCTGCACTCAGACACGCTGCAGATGAACCACACATGCACACAGCCACCTCCTGCTCCACAGCAAAGAGAGCTCACCATCGAAGGAGGGCACAGCCTGACTGTGTGTCAAGACTCATGTTTCAGCTGCATTAGTTCTAATGGTAACACTTTACAATAAGGTACACAAAATTTGATTAACTACTAGGGAACACCTCAGGAACGAACCAGGAGCTAATCAGGTAGTTAATCAGTACTTGCTGGGGAACACACAGCCAAGCTTTATTAAGGGACTACTGGTTAGTTACCACAGAATCAGAGGGAAAATTCTCCATGTTGGTTCTGAATAAACCCTGCACCAGTGTTTCCCAGTGATGACTGATTTTACTGGATTTTCTCTTTTGTAAACCAATTGATGAAAGACTATCTATTTCATAATCTTGTACTGCTGTCATCTTAACTATGTCTGACTGTCACTTGCTGATACCAAATCATTGCCTGGCTATTATTTTGTTCACTGATGTAGTGAAGCATCATACCAAGTAGGAACCCCTGACCATTACCTACTGGTTTGTTCCTGTGGTAACTAACAAGTAGTCCCCTAAAAAGACTTGGCTGTGTGTTCCCTAGTAAGTACTGGTTAACTACTCATTAGCTCCTGATTCATTTCTCTTTGGTTTCCTTGGTAACTACCCATTAGTTCTTGATTAGTTCTTCTTCCTTTACAAGGTAATTAACCAGTAGTCCCCTAACAAGACTTGGCTTTGTTTTCCCCAGTAGTTAGTTAGTTTCCTTAGTAGTTAATCAAATTTTGTGAACCTTATTATAAAGTGTTACCGTTCTTATAATTAAAGAATATTAACACCAAAAGATTAATATTTGTATGCCCCAGATGTTAACAATTGTGTGTTTCAGTTTAACTTAACTTTATTTTCCCCAAAACTCACCAAGTTCTCTGTAAGAGCGTCAGTTTCAGGTGTTTTTAGTTTATCATAAATATCTGTATGCCTGTATTTGTACATTTTGAACAGTTTAGAGATGTGTGAAAATGTTGAGTGACAGTAATTTTAATTTAATACGTTATTGTAGCATCCCAGAGAGACTAGCTGGAAAGGATGTTGGGTAGCCCTGTGGCAATTACAGTATGTGTGCAATGTTTCTGAGTGTGGAAATTGGTTGTTCTTGTTAATGTCTTGTTCTCGTTTGGTTTGACATTTATGCTGAAGTCTCTGTTATTGGCTGTAAACTGACTCCACGAGTCAGAGGTTGTTCCCAGTATGTCTAAGGGGGAAAGTACTTCCTGTTGGATGCGGAAAGTGTACCAATAATAAAAGGTGACGTTAGACGAGAGCAACTCCATTGTGATTTTATTGCTAGTACTTAAGAATTGCAATAATATTTTTCTCCACACTTTTATAAGGGGGAGGGAGGTCTCCAAAAAGAGTAGGTTTTGTATGCTTGTGAAAATGTTGAAAACTATGAATCATCCCTAAATTTAAGTCCACTCAACTCAGTCCACTATTCTCAACTCGAGTAAACTTAACTCGGGTTAACTCAATTCAAATCAACTAAACTCAATTAACTAAAGTCAACCAGTCAACTTGTCTCAACTTGGGTAAACTCAACTAATTTGAAGTCAACTAAACCCAGCGAGTTCAACTCAAAACAACTCGGGTCAACACAGCTCAGCTGTGAGCGCTACTATCCCTGTTGCGTTAACGTCGTTTGTCTTTAATCTCTCAGCTGTAGTTTTTTTTATTTAGTTTTAGTTTTGTCATTCTTGAGCATTTGAATAAAAATTGGAACGTCTTTAGATCTTCAGGTCATCTAGTCTGCCTTTGGTGTTGCTGTGTTTGCTTGACTGACTATTTTTGCGCTGATTTTCAACAGGAGTCTCAGACACAGGACTGGATATTTTTGTCTTCTCCACATCGTCGCCCTCTCCCCTACCTTTCCTTTCCACAGCCATGTTGTCTCTGTTTTGTTTGTACACTGCTTTACTGTTGTAAGGGTTGTAGGCAGAGTTTGGCTCAGTAATGACGTACTTTGAGTCAGCTGGGAAGGGTTCAGACATCACGGAGTGACCTGTCAAGTAGGTGTAGTTTGGAGCAAAGGGCTTGACTCCTTCATTTAGGGACTTGGAAGCCTCAAGTGCAGCCTTTGATCTTCTGTAGCGTAGCCCCTGATGACACTTTGTGAAACCTAGATGGTACATTTCAATCAGATTGAGTAATAGGGACACACAAGCCACTGCTAGCATGAAGAGAATGAAGATCGTCTTCTCCGTGGGCCGGGAGACATAACAGTTCACCATGTTAGGACAAGGCCAGTGGTTGCAGGTGTACATCGGCTTGAGCTGAAACCCATACAAGAAGTACTGCGCTACAATAAATGCCACTTCGAAGAGAGTCTTGAAAATAATGTTGAACACGTAGGTTCGAAGAAGTGCACCTTGCAAACGCACATGACCCTGGTTGTCCTTAATTGAGGCCTTTTTGGTCTTATTGCTTAACTGCTGCTGGTTGTTTTCGCTTTTACTGGCAAGTTCCTTCAGTTTCTCCTTCTCTTTTTCTTCCATGCGGACCAGATGGAGGATGTGACCTAGATAAATAAGAGTGGGGATGGAGACAAAGATGATCTGGATCACCCAGAAGCGGATGTGAGAAATGGGGAAGGTCTTGTCATAACAGACATTTTGACAACCAGGTTGTTTGGTGTCGCATGTGAAGCTGGACTGTTCGTCACCCCACACTTTCTCCGCAGCAGTCCCCAGCACCAGTATGCGGAAAATGAACAGGACCGTGAGCCAGACCTTGCCCACGACCGTGGAGTGTTCCTGGGCACTCTCCAGCAGCTTCCCCAACAGATTCCAGTCCCCCATAGTGGCTCACAGGTAAGCCTCGGCTTAATCAGCAAAACCTATAAAGAAACGGGACAACGTATTTGAACTTTCATAAAAGAAACACTCAAAGAACAGCAGCCTGGATCTAAAAACAATCAAGCCAATATAAAAAAATTTAGCCCTCTCAATTGCTATAAAAAGCTGGAAACCTTTGTGTGTTTTGTACATTTTAGGTTAGATTTGAATGAGTTTAAAACCTGGTGTAGACAATGTATTCTTTAATTATTATCTTGTATTGACATGTTAAAATAATTTCTGTTAATATGCAATAAATTCAGAGTATGCCGTGCATATAAATGCATAATTTCTTTATGCTTGTGGCGTCGTTTGTAGATGCAGCTCTGTCAAAGACTACTTTAGTTTGAACCAAACCATTGGAGACATGCCAGTCGATTCATCATGAATTAACCGATTGTTTTCCTGAAGGTTGTGTTTCTGCACGCTTGTAGGAAAGGAAAGGGACATCTCACTGAGTGTAATAGAGAGCACTGTAGCAGCCTTGGTAAGACTGTCGGCCTCAATGTGGATCTTGTGACACCGAGCCCCATGGTTTCCGCAAACTAATTTAAAAATAGTTCCGCTTGTCATTTTTAAGTAGAGAAAGAGAGACACTGTTGACTAATGGAGGACCTCACCATCTGTTTGACGTACTTTACGACCAAGAGAGGCTCTATTCATAAATGTACAGTTGGTAGAAAATCAGCTGACATCAAAACAAATGCACTTCTGGTGCTTTCAGTTGTAACATCTATATTTCTATTTAGGTACGTTCAACGAGTCTGTCTTTAGTATCCGTCATCATAAATGAAGACCTACCAGTTATTGTGATGCTCCTGCAAATCAGAGATGAACTTCTCCTGGAAAGACTTCACTGAAGACTCTATGATCATGGTCAGCGCTCTCCCATCTATTCCACTTTTAACGAGAAGCCATCATGGCTAAACCTACTTGTCTTGGGTCCATGTGGACACAGATGACATCCTTTCAATCTGTTCAGAAGGCTGAAACTGCACTCTGAAGAGGTGTTTCTTTAAAACTGTGTGGCATCCGAAGAGTCCAGTGAGGATGAAGGCTCAGCTGACGTGTCAGTGCGCTCTAAATATAATTCATGTTTCAGGGTGTGGCTGTGATGCTACCCTTCTGGTGCTGACCTTTGACCCTGTGGCAGAAATTCAAATATCTGCACCGTACATCCTGATCAAAACACTTCTACCTTATGAGTTTAGGAGTTAAATGAGTGTGCATTGCTTGTTTTATGTTACTTATGTCACCTTTAACTTTGGAATGCATCATAATGAAGTAACTGAATGAGAACAACGTAAATGTTTCTAGTCCTCCATCAGCTTTGTGGTATCAGTCCTGGCTTGAGTCAGTATGTTTGATTTTATGTCCCAGACAACGTTACACAAGCAGACTCATTTTAATAACAATTAAATTTATTAATAAGAACAATTTGCCTTTATTATGGTCAAAATTGCCTTCTTTCTATCATAACTTCTGCCATGAAATGAATTAATTCAACTGAAATCTTTAATCAGTCGTCTCTGTAGTTGAGATTTTGTTTCTCTGCTTATCAATCTGATTTATATATATATATATATATATATATATATATA